GCAGTGAAAGAGAATGCGTATCGTAAAAAACCATGGGGTGTCTCAGTCAGAGGGTGTTAGAACTTAAAGGAGTTGGGCTTTGGTTGGGTAATTAGAGGGAGAATCTAAGAAAGTGGGGACTTGCTCTGTATTCAGTGCTGTCAGAAGACTAAGGCAATTCTCTGATGGGGTAGCTCATTGAATCTTATCTATAGGGAAGGCAGACTAGATGGCAGATAAAGCTATAATTGGGAAACAAGTAGCAGTCATTCGTTTATCAAGAGAAGGGATATTTGGTATTTTGTGGGTTGAACGGTAAACTTGTTTCTGTTTCACATATTATAGTCTCAGAGTGACCTGGTTTGATGCAAATTTTCTTTGAGATTATTTATGTCCAACAGAAAAGCAAAGTGGCGTGACTGAGAGTCAGACTAGCTAGTAATAACTTTGAGGCCTAGCTGTGAATGTCACATCAGCTCAGATATCAGGGACTGCATTATATTTCAAACACACACACACACACACACACACACACACATTGCTAACTGCTGTTGAGTCAGCTCCAACTCATGATAACCTTATGTATAGCAGAACAAAACATTGCTCTGTCCTGCGCCATCCACACAGTCATTGCTGTGTTTGAGTCTGTTGTTGCAGCCACCAAGTCAATGCATCTCCTTGAGGGTTTCCCTTGTTTTTGCTAACCCTCTACTTTACCAGACATGATGTCCTTTTCTAGGAGTTGGGCTTACCTGATGACATGTCCAAAGCATCCAAGACAAAGTCTCGTTATCCTCACTTCTAAGGAGCGTTCTGGCTATACTTCCTCCAAGACAGATTTGTTCGTTTTTCTAGTAGTCCACGGTATATTCTTCAACAACACCATAATTCAAATACATTCAGTTCTCCTTAGATCTTCCCTTTTCATTGTCCAACTTTCACATGCATGTGAGGTGATTGAAAATACCATAGCTTGGGTTAGGCGCACCTTAGTCCTCAAAGTCACGTCTTTGCTTTTTAGCACCTGAAAGAGGTCTTCTGCAGCAGATTTGCCCAATGCAATGTATCGTCTGATTTCTTGACTGCTGTTTCCATTGGCATTGATTGTAGATCTAAGTAAAATGAAATCCTTGACAACTTCAGTTTTTTTGCCATACACGCACATAGATATATGCATATACATGTGCACAATATGTGTGTATATATATAAAGAACATATATATAATACATATGTATATTCTAGTGTAACTAATTTTTTTAATGAGAGCTTATTCTTTCCTTGTAGTTCTGGTGAATATAGTTTTCATATAATTGTCAAGAGTTAAATTCTCTTATGTAGTATTTTATCAGTATATTAAGACTCATTGTTTTAGGGTATACTTCTTCAGCTGTATCAGTAGCATAGAATATGCTGCCACTTGTCGTATTTCAGGGGAATGAGCAGAAAAACAGAAGACTCTTTGCACTGATCCAGATGGGAAGTGAATGACAGTGTGGGTGGAGAGGAGAGGCATGTTAAGAACTATTTAGAAGATAGAATGGGCAGTACTTGATATAAGGTGTAGTAAGTAGGGGAGCCAGAAGACTGAAGGATGAGACCTAGGTTTCTAGTTGAGTAGTTCGAGTAGGAAGTGATGCTTCACCAGGATAGGGAGAAAGGGAGCAGTGGGAGGTTGTAAGGCATCTTAACCAAGAATCCCTACAGGAGCATGAACCTGCTTATACCAAAAACCAAACCAAATCCGTTGTTGTCGAGTCAGTTCTGACTCATAGCAACCCTATAGGAGGGGCTAATTGCTTCTAATCAATCTTGTAACATTCTGGGTAGTATCTAACAGAGAATAATAATTTATTGACTGACTAGCAGCAAGAGCGATTACTACACAGGGAACCAAAATCTTAAATTCTTTTGTCATCATATTCCCTCCCTGTAGGCAAATCTATGTAAGTGACAGAATTACAATCAGAAGATTGTGTGGTCTGGGTGGGGACATACAAGGGAAGCTAGCTTGAGTATCTTAATAGCTGTTTTTAGCAAGGTATGATGCATCTATCAGTACTGTAGCGATTTATGCACCCTGTCTACAGAAATACAGATGTGACCCCAGAACCATGTTCTGAAATGTTGGGTGCAAGGATGCCGAAGTGGGTTTCATATGTCAGCCCCTAGCATATGAGCTGGCACATAGTAGGTACTCAGCACATAGTGTGAGGGGGAGTCGAGGCTTAACAGAGAGTATTCTATAATCTATTATTTGTGTCTGCCGTGGGTGCAGGGAAGAGGTATGAGGCACTCTCTGGCAGGCGTTTGCCAGCCCTGGTTGAGAATTTTCACATATTTATCATAGAGCTGGTCTACAAACATTATGAAGGAGGGAGGAGTTAAAATGTGTCTCTGCCCATAACCAAACGCATTAGAAGTGAGGTTTTCTATACCTTTTCTCATTCTGACATTCTGACCCCATGTAAGGAAGCAACATGCAGATAAATTTAAAAGGCAGCTGTCCTGGTTGGTGCGTCAGCTATGCAGGGACCAGGTTGATCAAGGAAATCTGATATATTAAATTTGCTTTTGTTTTGCCTCTTTTTTGTCATTGTTTTTTTTCTTTATATTGGGAAGGACATCCTCCTAGCTTATTCTCCTTGCCCTTTAAAAACAAAAACCACTTTCTATTGCTGAGAGTCCTTTTTTCTCGCCATCTTATATTTTGGATCAGAATGTACAGTTATATTTTCATAATAGATAAAGAACTATTTGATGTGAGAGTTACTTTTAGAGTTACTTAAAATTAGAGCAAAATCATAACTATTTTTGCTCATTAATACATACATATGATACATCCTACTTTTAAAATTATATGTCATTTGCCCAAATGATCATACTGGAAAAAAGAGTTAGGATAAACCCATATAGTTGAAAAATCTTGCATTGGTGATGCTTGGGCTAGATTTCAGGTTATTGGTGTGGAAGCAATATTAAAGCTTGTGGTTGGTTCTCTAGGTATCTTGGGCAGTAGCTTAATTATACCTTTAAATAGAAGACATTGCTCTTCTTTTTAGACCTTCCCTGTGTGTCTGATCTGTTATTGATTTATTCCTGTGCCTTTGAGAGTCCCTAAAGTTCTCCATTTCTCAGGATTTCAAATAGCTAAATTTAGGTTATAGTGATAATAGTTAAATATAATATTTACATTAATAGGTTTTCCTCAGGAATTCCGTTTCACTATTTTGGTTATTTTTTTTAAAACATTCCCAACATTTAAGGCTTACCTTATAATATTATTACATTAAAAATGAGACTATTATAATGAATTTTTTTTTTAAAAAAGGCTTATTTTTGAGTTAGAAGATATCTTAGAGAAAATCTTACAGTGTAACCCTCTTATCTTATAGGTGGAAAAGTCAAGACTCAATGAATTAAATGACTTCTGAATTTCCTGAAAGAGAAATTATGCCAACATATATTTTTGAAGCTTAAAAAATAATGAAAACATTGAATTGATAAACCAATTTACAAATAGCACAGCATTTATGTTGTACTTCAGAATTAAGCAGAAGGCTCCCTGTATAATGAGTGCATCATTTTAACTACTTAATATATTTTCTCCTTTGAGTAGATATAGAAAAGGTTGTCTGTTTACTCCTTTAATTAAGAGACAAAAAATGCCTGAGGTATGTTTTTTTTTTTCTTTTTTTTAATTGTACTTCAGGTGAAGGCTTACAGAACAAATAGTTTCTCATGCAACAGAAGTACACATGTTGTTTTATAACATTGGTTAACAACCCCACAACATATCAACCCTCTAACTTCTCAACCTCTTTTTTTGTTTGGTGAAAATACACATAGCCAAAGATACACCATTTCAAAAATTTCTACATGTACAGTTCAGTGACATTGACTACGCTCTTCGAATTGTGCCGTTATTCTCACTTAAGATGAAGGCTTGCAGAACTAAATAGTTTCTAGTTTAACAGTTAACTACAAATGTTGCCCTGTGACAATGGTTAACAATCTCACAACACATCAACAATATCCTTACTCAACCTTGGGTTCCCTATCACCAGCTTCCTTGTCCCCTTCTGC